AGCGTTGCCAGAAGCAAAGCGTGTTTTAACCGTCTCTCTTATATACTATTCTCCCCAGCTGCAACCAATGAGGGGGATCATGGCCGCTTCCTCTCTCGTAAGCCAAGTTGTTTCCTTCTCTGTTCCTCCCTGCGTGTCCTAGGATGAAGAGGGGATGGGCCTGGTTCTTCCTCTGACTGCCCAGTTGGCCTCTGCCCTTCCCCAGCCTCCTCCACAACCTTTGGAGCCATACTTCTACTCCCTGTCGGCTGTTCCTCCTCTCCCTCAGAGTTTGCCTCTAACAAGGCCATGACCCACTTCGCTTCTGCTATCTCCAAGTACCAACCACTGATCCAATATCCATTTATTTTGTATTCCTTATCAAAAATGCTTCATTCTTCCTGTCTCCTAGCAGAATCACCGGCTAGGTTTGCCAGCGTTTAGGCCCCTCTTTCTCTTTTTGCACGCGTATTTCGCAAGGCAGCCTTTCCTAATTTTGGGAAAAGGTCACGTTAATTAAATAAACGGCCCCCGAGGAATGGAAATAGCGGGGTCTGCGCTCCGACAAGGAGAACCATCCAGCTGAGATAATTATTATGGGTAAGAAGTGTGAAATTAGATCATTACATTCAGACTCAAAATGGGGTGTTTTCGTTGGCGAGAAGGGGGGGGGAGAGAGAGAGAGGAGGGTTAAAGAAAGAAAGGCAACATTCATTCAATAATGGTAGAATATGGAGATGGAAGGGAGCTGGGAGGTCATCTAGTCCAACCCCCCCCAATCCAAGCACAGACCCTACTACAGCATTTCTGACAAATGGCAGTGCAATCTCTTCTTGAAAGTCTCCAAATGTTTCTTCATTTGAGGTCACTTCATTCCCGCCTGACATGCAGCTTCAGGGAGGCAGAAAGACAAACGTTATTCACCTGGAAATTGAGGTCCCGTGGGAAAAAGATGATACTTTTATTTAATTCAACAAACAAATTTAGGCAATTGTTTTTAAGCGACTGATTGTGTGTGTGTGTGTGGCAGGCATAAAGGAACGTGACTTCCTTGAATTACCTTTAATTATGCAACCATTCCTCCTCCTCCTCCTCCTCCTCCTCCTCCTCCTCCTCCTCCTCCTTCTCCTCCTCCTCCTCCTCCTCCTCCTTTCCATGTATTTCCCTCTCTTCTAGAACTGATGACGTTCCCTAGTTGGGTCATGAAACGTCTGCCATAAAACCACCAAGCTCAGAGAGCGCCAAGGACCCCACTGGTTCAACCCTGAGCTACAAATAATTTCTCCCTTGTTGAGATCTAATTGTGGATTCCCTACAAGGCCAGGAATGCCCTACCTACCTCAATGAGATTTCATGAGCTTTCGCTGTCCTGGGCTACTTGTAGGTGGGTAGTTGGAGTTCTTGAGAATGGGCGGGGGGGGGGGGCAACATTTCTAACATTGCCAAGGGTTCCCGTGTTTTAAAATACCCCCTCGTGCTTTTCGGTGGCTTTTAAGGCCTCGTGCATGCTTGCCGCCGAAAGTCTCCGGTTAATGTTCCGATAATTGCAGCGCAGAAGGTTCCAGAAAGTAGTCCTCAGGTCGCGGTTGAAGAAGGCGTAAATCAAGGGGTTGATGAGGGAGTTGGTGTAGCCCAACCACAACAAAGTCCGCTCCAACCACAGCGGGATGCAACTGCACCAGCTGCCGCAGAGGAAAGGCCGGGCGGTGGACATCAAGAAGAACGGCAGCCAGCAAACGGTGAAGGTGCCCACGATGATGCCGAGAGTCCGGGCGGCCTTCTGCTCCCTCTTGAAGATGGAGATGTTCTTGTGGTCTTCCTGAAGGAACTTGGACAACGGGGCACACTCCTTGGCGGCCTGGCTGCGTTTGACGCTCCGTGGTGGCCGTACGCCAGAGTCTACGCAGGAGATACGGTCCCGGTGGCGAGGCCTCGGGAAGTCCACGAAGCGGTGTTTCCGAGCGCAGGCTTTGGCCGCTTGGTAGATCCTGTGGTACATGACCAGCATAACAGTCGTGGGGATGTAGAAGGCCACGCCGGTGGAGTAGATGGTGTAGCCAACATCCTGGCTGATAAGACACACACAGTCCACCGTGACGTTCTTGGCCCAGCCGAACAAGGGAGGGAGAGTGATGGAAGCAGAAAGAAGCCAAACCACGAAGACCATCTTGGCCATCAGTTTCCCGTCTTGTCTCACCGGGTAGGTCAAAGGTCGAGTGATTCCCAGGTACCTGGAAAACATCGGTTCAGATTGAATGTACGGAGAGGCCTCAACTTAGGATTGGTCACTTAGCAGACATGCAAAGTTATGACAGACCTCCCCAAGGGCCTGTACTTTTTATCTAACTTTCTTTTATTGCTTGCCTGTTTTATTCTATTATTTAATTTAATCCCATTTAGTCATCCATCTGAGGATAATTCAGCTAAGGCTGTTTCCAGTAACTCTTACTTTATTGCAGTGTATTGGATTGTTTTACTTTTATTTTATTTTTATTTTACTGTTTCATTTTGTCTGTGCTTTTTAATCTAACTTTCTTTTATTGTTTGCCTGTTTTATTCTATTATTTAATTTACTCCATGATCACTTCCCTCTTCTATGATCAAACCTGTCCTGCCCCTGGTGGAGATTAACTCTGAGGGAGACAGGAATAGCTGACAGGGAGTGGAAGTGGGGCTCCGGAGGTTGTGGAGGAGGCTGGGGAAGGGCAGAGGCCGGCTGGGCAGTTAGAGGAGGACCCAGGCCCACCCCCTCTCCATCCTAGAGCATGCAGGGAGGAGAGGATAAGGGAGAGACGGGGTCTACTCCGAAGGAGAGGGCTTTGATCCTCTTCATGGGCTGCAGCTGTGACAACTGGTTAAAAGGACGGACATGCGTATGGGCCAATGCTGGAAACCAAGCATGGAAATATCTCTAGTTTATAGTTCCTCTCTGAGTTTGGCGTCCTTCCCAGTGTGTGTTATCTGTGGACGTCCTCCAGCCCTTATCTTGCCTGGTTTGTGTTGCTTTTTTCCTTCTTCGTGTAAAATGTGTGGGAGTTGTTTTGGTCTTCCATCAAAGATATTTGGAGCTTGGAAACAAACTGAATGAATAAAAGGGGCTTCACCTGGGACTGTGTTTGTTTTGTATCCCACCCTGGGGCATCACAAAACCTGAAGAACATCCTCGCTGCCCTTACCTGTCCACACTGATGACGCAGAGGGTCATGATGGACGCTGTACAACACATGACGTCCATGGCAATGAAGAGGTTGCAGAAGACTTCCCCGAACAGCCATTTGCCTCCTACCAAATCCGTGATGATCACAAATGGCATGACCGCCAGGGCGACGGACAGATCTGCAGCGGCCAAAGAAACCACCAGGTAATTGGACGGTTGCCGAAGCTTTTTCACGGTGCACACGGAGATGACCACCAGGCTGTTCCCTGCAATGGTCAACAGGGTGATAGCGGAGATGACTATCCCAATGACCACTTTTTCCGCGTCCCCATACAGCACGGCATCCTCTCCGCAATCGGTAGAGCCGGTGGCATTGGAGAGCAGGGCCCTGGGTTCATTGAGTTGGGAAAGTCCTTCAGTCATGAATGTTGACTTCCAGGAGAAGGCGCTCCTGCTTCGTAGTCTCCAAAAGGAGTGGTTGCAGCTCCCAGAGTTGACTGGATCGAGTCTTGATCCACATCTTCAAGCTGACAGCTGCATGGAGAAGAGGAACGGAGCATGAGTTGGCTTTAGGTTTTCATAACCGGGGTGGGATTCTACCTGATCGGACTGGTTCTATAGAAACGGTTGTTACGATCCTGCACAGTTCGGAGAGCTGGCAAATCGCGCCACTGGATGGCCCCGCCACTCCCCTCCTTACCTTACTCCTCCTTACTCACTCCTTACCTGGCATGCATGCCATCCAACTTGCCTGCCTTGTGCCTTCGCCTAATTTGTAATAAGTTACTGTTTTTCCTTTTTTTCCCCCGACAATCAGCTTTTCCGACTATCAGCTGTGATATTTAGATTAGCTAGAAAGCAGAAAATTGTTGGACTTCTTGCTTTCTAGCTAATCTAAAAGCAGAGCTGAACCTTCCTTAGGACTGAAACTTCTATTTTTCAGTGCAGACTCAGGCAGCAGATTGCAGAGTGGGAGATCTCTGAGTGAATCTGTGATTCTGCGAGCAACTCAATCTGCCTGCCCACTTTGCCTGATTTTGGGTAAAAGTTGCTCTTTTTTTAAATAAAAAAAAATGCAATATTTACATACCTGGTGTGTTGTGAGTTAATTTTGTGAGTTTGCTCGCAAGCAAATTTTATGTGACAGACTCGGGCAGCAGATTTCAGAAAGATAGATCTCTGAGTGAATCTGTGATTCTGCGAGGAACTCAATCTGCCTGCCTGCTTTGCCTGATTTTGGGTAAAATGGCTCCTTTTTTAATAAAAAAATTCGATATTTACATGAATATTTACAATATTGACATACAAGCCACGCCCACCCAATCACGTGACCACCAAGCCACACCCACAAATTAGGCATATGCCCACAGAACCGGTTGTTAAGAAATTTGAATCTCATCCCTGTTCATAACAGTGCAGTGGTGAAATGCTACGGGTTCAGCCTGGTGGGGAAAAAAGCTCCGACGATCAGAAGAGAAAAGTGCAGGATCGCCCCTGTGCTTTTCCCTTCTTTCTCCTCTCAGCTGATGTTTGAGAAGCTGCGTGCATGCGCAAAGTGCGTGATGACCGAACCAGTAGGTAAACTGGTAGAGTCCACAGTGAGCAGTTAGCTACAGCAGATGACCTTGAAGCCAAAGTCATTGTTGTGGTTCGCCGGCAGCAGGTGCAGACGGCTGAGGTCTTGGAGAGCGAGGACTCAGAAGAGGGGCCTGCGTGGGATGCAGGGATGGGGCCAGGACCGTCAGTGCTGCCTTCGGAGGTTGTGGAGGCTGGCAGCAGCGATGAAGAGGACCCCGAGGAGCCTGTGCTCAGTGTGGGTGCGTGCAGGGCTGCTCGTAGGAAAGAGCAGCTGCAGCAACATGGGAGACTCGGGAGTAAGGCTGCAAAGTGATGGCCCCTCCCTTAAGGGATAAAAGCCAGCCCTCAGAGGTGGGATTCTTTGCAGGAAGCAAGGACGTTCTTGTACTTCAAGCCTTGTGGAAGTTCGGACTATCCTGGTTTGTGTTTAGAGACCTTTGGTTTTGATTATTTCCTTGCAATTTAATCTAGTGTTCTTGGCAGCCTTGCACCACCTTGGCAAGGCTCGTTCTTATCAGAGACCATTAGTTTTTAACAGCGTTTTCCTGTGAATGAACAAAATTCACAGAGAAGCATTAAAAGGTTTTGCTTTTATCTCTGGGTTTGGTATTTGTTTGCTTTGAACGAGGCTTGGGTCAGAACAGTCATGGAGATACTTCGTCCTTTCCTCCATAAATGTCTGAGGAAGGACCCCAGCTACACAACCACCAACATGGCAGTCCTCAACTTACAACGGTCCATTTAGTGACCGTTGGAAGTTACCACGGCACTGAAAAAAGTGACTTAGGACATAGGACCATTTTTCACACTTATGACATCCCCAGGTCAGGTGATCCAAATTCCAACACTTGGCAGCTGACTCATATATTTATGACGGTCGCCGTATCCCGGAGTCACATGATCCCCTTTTGCGACCTTCTGAGGAACCAAGTCCATGGGGAAGCCAGATTCACTTAAATGACTGGGTGACTAACTCAATGACTGCACTGACTTGCTTAACAACCGTGGAAAGAATGGGGCAAAATTCACTTAACGACTGTCCTGCTTAGCAACAGACATTGTGGGCTCAATTATGGTCGTAAGTTGAGAACCATGTGAATTTGCATTACCTTTAATTCAAGCTTTTTCTGTAACCACACAATGATTTCAATCTTGAAATAAAAGTCTCATTTCTTTTTTTTCTATTCCGAGCTTAAAAATAACAGAAGCAATTTCCCCATGGAATCAGGACGGAATAAAATCTCCTCTTTTTTAAAAAACTGTTGACACTGCTACCCCAATCTCAAAACCATTTTCTCTCCCATCCATTTTTTCCCCCTCCGTGGTGAGAAATAATCCACCTTTCTCTTTATGTTTATTTGATTTTTCTGCACCATCTTCCTCTATTGTATCTGCGCCGAATCTTAACGAATAATAAAATAACAGAATGGAGTAAATTAAATAATTGAATAAAACAGACAAACAATAAAAGTTAGATTAAAGAGTACAGACAAAATAAAACAGTAAAATAAAATAATAATAGTAAAACAATACAATACACTGCAATAAAATCAAAGTTACTGGAAACAGCCTTAGCTGAATTATCCTCAGACAGATGATTAAATGGGAAGCATTTGGAAATGAATCAAAATGGGCTATATACTACAAAAAAGGAGGAATTCTGAGAAGATGACAGCCAAAAAGACTTTCAGGAAGCAGAAAAGAAATAATATTTTTTGAGTGGGTGGGGAGAGATTTTTATGAGAGTCACAAGAGATTGAAAGCAATCAGCAATGAAATAGCCCCAACCAGTAAAATCTTTTTCACCGTCTGTATCTCCTGCTTTTCATTTTTTCCTCTCATCCATCGTTTGCTTCTTCTTTAGCTTAGCCAGGACTGTATCTTAACTCCTGTTTCAAGATAGCCCCTCTTACATCTTGACCAAGGAGCTCCCCAGTCAGGATGAACTTTTCAATTCCCACCAGACTGTTAATTTGGTGCAATAAACTAACCTGGATACACCTGTGCAATTTCTCTTTCTTTTTTTTTAAACATTACCTTTGGAAACATGGCTTTGAATAGGCGCGTATCGCTTGCGTTCCCTTTCAGGGCGAAGTATTTTCTATCAAATAAAAGATAAGCAATCCATTGGATGCTGCAATTCGAACGGCATATTATTAAAAGGGAGACCTTTTGCCTTAGCAAGAATTAAAAGTGTCAGACAGGAGGATGAACTTGGCTGCGATAGCTTGTGGTCAGACAGATTTAATAAATCGATAAAAATAAAATGGAGAGGAGAGGATCTTCCACTGAATCTTGTCTCTTTTTTCGTCAAGCAACAGGCCAGTGGTCCCTTTGTGCAATTTAGAACCAGGAGATGAGATTTCCTTTCGAAAGGATGAGGGGAGGGGGAAAAAAATGTTACCTTGAAAGAGGCAAAGGAGAAGAGAAGGGTAGCCAATATCTCCTCTTGGGTTGTGGCATCTCCTATCCAGGGCTTCTCCTTTGTGGTCAAACTGAAGGATGCAGTCCAGGGCTTCAGCTGCAAGTGAGGAAGATGCTGCTAGCTAGAGTGAGACTAGATGCCAGTCTGGGGGGGGGGGGGGGAGGGGGGGGGGGTGCTGGCTTCAACTTTGCCTCCTCTTCCTAGCCAGCCCCAAAGAATTGGTTTGCTCCTGAGTCTTTGCTCCCAGATCTCCTCTCCCTTTTGGTTGGGGAGAGTAGGAAGGGAGGAATTGACAGGAGGGAGGGAGGCAGGAAGGGAAGGCAGAGAGGGAGGGAGGGAGGGAGGGAGGGAGGGAGGGA